AACAGATGGAGCTAGGGTAGAAGAAAGGGGTCTAGCTCTGCCTACTGCCTCCCACTTGCACTAGTGATTTTCCCAGAGCCATCCTGTGAAGATGCCAGTGAGATAGAGAGGGGAGGGACATACAGGACCATCTGCTCTAGATGGTGGAATCTGTGAGCAAGCAACCTCTAACCCCATGTGGTGCAGAGACTCAGCAAGTGTCCACCCCAGGCAAAGAGGTAAAATAAACATGACTGAGTTCAGGCACCTGGCAGGACAAAAAGATGTAGATTTGGGGAGAAAGGGGCCTTAGTTGCCACATGCATCCCAGCTTTCTCTAGTAAGAACTGGATCCTTCCCAATGGGACCAACTTGGTAAGTAGCACCAAAATGTGAAAGTTCAACATGATCACTCATCACCTGATAATATGAAAGAGCAATGTCAGTGTGCTATTGAGCACAATATGGGAAAGGGAGTGATAAGAAGCTGGGTTGTGGAGGCCTGGCCACCTGGCCCTATTTCATGTGCTGACCCACTTAGCACACATGAGCCTGGTGGCCCAAATTGAAAATTTGAGGGCTCTTTGGCCCTGACATTTGACTTCAGTCTGTCAACCAAAATTCATCTTGCTTTTAATTTGAGAGCTAGTGTTTCTTTCTCAGCCACAGTCTTCCAACTCCCATCTCTCTCTATAGCATCTTGCCCTTGCACTAGTCTCATTTTATATATCTGGACTGAGAAAGGACTGGATTTCACACCTAATTAAAAGAGATTGTATTGCCTGCTGTTTCCTTTTCTTATTCCTTTTCCCTTGTGCACAGGCAGCTTTTTTATTATCATGCTTAGTCCTATCCCTGGACACCCGCCATTTCAGGGACAGGCAGGAGCTGGGTTCCTACAACATAGACAGCCAAGTCCTCCATCAGCTATTTCACCACAAGCAGAATCCCCCTCTGGTGCTCACTCCTGCATCAGCCTCATCCATACTGTGCTCACCCGCAGAACACAATCACTTAGAGTACACGATCACATTCAGGAATAGAATTCCTTGAGTGTTCCAGTGAATGCCATCACAGACTGACTATATATTTTTTACTCTAGTGGAAAGAAGATGGGTTACTATTTTAAAACATGCTATTTTTGTCAGTTTTTTTTTTTTCCATTTTACCCCATCAGTTCTATGTTCACACCACCATGGGGGATTTTTGGAGGGAAGGGGGGAGGAAGTGTATCGTGGCATCCCCAAATGCACAAAATCTTTGTAAAGTTGTATGGTTTTGTAGAGTCGAAGGTTTTTTTTTTTTTTTTGAATAGCCCAAAGGCCTATTCACTGCCAATCCAAGAAAGAATGGAGTTAGCATTTTCACACCATTCCTTCCTATACAGTCTCTGAATAACCATCTAATCAAGATTTGTTTTCAATGGGGAACAAATCTCCTACAGTAGAGTATTTCAGATTTATTCCGTTGGAATCTATACATTAATGCCCACTGCATGAAAAGGACCTGTTTCACAAAAGCCTGGACATTGCCTTGCCGTGGCAGAAACTCTTTCCCACTGTATTAGTGTTGAAAATGAAAGAAAGCCTGGGAAAGGACTTGCTTCAGCATTGTGTGCTGGAGGGCCGAGGCATGCTTGAATGGACCGGCAGGGTCCCCCGTCACATCTGTACACATATCAGCAAAAACCGATTCAGCCTTTCACAGCTGCTCACTGTGGTGCAGGACCAGTGCACTGAGACCTTTAAAAATTGTGTCTGCAAAAGTCCAACTAGGTTTGTCAGGTCAGGTTGTATATGTGCACAGGTTCAAGTTTGTCTCTGTGGTGTTTAATGAAGTTGGCAACAGCATTACTGCAAAAATCATAACTCAGATTATTTAGCAGACAATTTTTTATTATTGCTATAGATTTACCTGATTATTTAGACTTGAGTGGATCAGCTCAACAGCATTTTGAACTTTTTTTCATGAGTTTGTGTGTGTTTGTGTGTGTGTGCATATATCTATGAATGTGTGTGATATAATGACAGCTCTTGTTGGTGACCATATCCATCTCTACAGCAAGCTCCATCATCACTTTCTATATTGTGAGAATTAGATGGCCCTCAGTCTTTGGGTAATCCAGATTTCATTTGTCAGTGATCCAGTATCATGTGATAAAAAGAGCATCAAAGGGCATGGGATCTAATCCCACCTCAGCCACTTACTAGCTCTGGAAAACATTGGGTTAGTCATTTAGATACTTTGAAACCCTCGACTTCCTTTTACATCAAATAGTAATAATAGAACCTGTCCTGAAAATATATAGGATTGTTATAAGGAGTAAATGGGTCTATACCTCTGAAAGAGTTTGTACACTGTAAAATGCTACATGGTTATTAATTATTATGATAATTGTGATTGAGCTTCTTCCCAGAATTATCAGAAAGAAGATATGACAACTCAAGTGATATAGCTGTGACTGCTGCTATGAGCAATTGTGTGTTTAAAGAGTGTTTTTATCCGTGTGGAGAAAAATGTTTAATAAATCCATCCTACTCAGAGACGGTGATTTTATCAGAGACTTAGCCAATTTTAGTGCTTACCATTTTACTTAAATGAAAGAGACCTTGGTGATAGTAAAATTGTATATAGAAACTTCTACATTTTAGTGCCAGAACTCTCTTTTATCTCTTGCATTGTTCCATTTATAAGTTTTTTAAAATATGCTTTATTAGATGACTGAGGCTATGAGACAGCACACTAATTTATGGATAGGTACAGAAGTAGCTGGAGGGTACACTGAACAGACCTTATTACACACCTTTACGGCAGACCCATGGACACCTAAGAACCCCAGGCATCATTCAGGGACAAAGTATGCAATACAGTGAAGCAGAAAAGCATGCAATACAGTGAAGCAGATAAGAGTGTGAACTCTAGACCCAGACTGCTAGGTTCAAATGCCAGCTCAACCACCAACTACCTGTGTGGCCTTGAGTGGTTTCCTAGTTCCTCTGGCCTCAGTTTCCTCATCTGAAATATGGGGATAATAATACTACTGACATCATAGGATTGTTGTGAGGACTCAATGAAATAATGTACATAAAGTAGTTAAAACTTGAACACTCTTTTAAAAAATCGCTCTTATTATTATCACAGTGCACAAGCATGAGGGACTCAGTAAGACATTAGAATATGATCTGCTGACTGATTTCCTAAATTTTCCTTTCTAGGTTTTTGGGGCCTTCCTCTGGTGCCGTGTTTTGTATTAACAGTTATAGGGGATTCACCTTGATTCCTTAACCTGGCAAGGACAATTTGTTTTATATAAAAGGAAAAAGAGAAACAGTCATCTAATGAAATATTTTAGACACATTAACAGACCTAATAGAAATTGGAAGGAAAAGGAATTCTCTTATGAAAAAATTTGCACAAATCATATCACTCAAAGAGAACATAGAGCCTGTAGGCAGCATTTATTAAGTTTAGTGGATTTCTGTGAGGCTGACTAAATGTAAAGTTGGGAGCAAAGGAAATGAATGAGTATATAAGGATGCAGTCACACCAGCTGGACTCAGAATGAGGAGACAGATTGTACCACAGTAGAAAAGCTAGTTGAGCTCAGACTTCTCTGAGCAGGTCCTCTTTCCTAAGGCAGAGGAGAAAGAACCTGAGGAGGTGGTCATTCCTCTGTGTGCAGGCCGTTACCTCTGGGTTACTTATAACAAGACACAGGGATCTGGGTCACACCAACAGTCTATACCTGGGTCACCTAGATTTGAAAGCCTACTTACTTGGCCTCCCTCAAGCTCATCTTCAGTTGTGAAGGCAAGAATGGGGAATGACTGAAGAATGATGTGGAAAGAGGGATTCTTTAGAGAGCTAAAGTAAAAAAAAATAGGAAAGCCCTAAGTCTAGTGTTATAGACACTTGTTTTCCTTCTCAATCTGGGATCTAGGTGTTACCAACCTATCACTTGTCTGCACAGCCTAGGATATAAGGGTGACAATAGGTCAGGCTATCCACATGTTCCACGTAGCTGAGTGCTGCCTTCCTCCTGGCAACTGTCTGATATATCCCTCTTGTAAGCGCAGAGAGCACCCAATTCCTGAGATAATTGTACATCCCACTCCAGGGTAACCCTACTGTCCTGACCTACTTACTAACAGTCCTCCTAAGAGCCCAGTTTGAATGACAAATATGGTCACCTAGTGTATTCCAGTCTCCCAGGTCAACACTGCCATCTCTGACCTTTCTAACATTTCTTCTTCATTAAGCCTCAGAAAATTCAGAAGACCACCATATAACATACAACCACCCTAGAAAGTACTCAAACAGGTCTCACCAAAGAGGATAAGAAAAATGCACAGATACAGACAGTGGGCAAGTGCTCCTTTAGCAAGAAGATTGCATTCTAGAACCTGTCCCTCCACTGGAAAACATGGTGGTAGCTATTTTATGTCTATCTTAGTCTAAGCTGACTTTTCCAAGAATTTTTGCATATGTGGTGTGGATTTGCAGAATGTGCCATGTTAATTAACAGGAAGCGAATTAAATATTGTGGTCATGAATAAAATAAGGAATTTTGACAAATTGAGAAAAATACAAGCTTTCCCAAAGGACCTGGGCTTAGGCCTGTCTAAAGTGGAGGCAGAGTTTCCTGAGAACAAGTCTTCATTTTCCTTTTGGTTCTTATTTGCTGAAGCTGTGGGAAAAGCAGGCAGTGACCTATCTGTTTTTTAGACTGCTGTACTTCAACTGACAACCCTGGCTGAAGGTCTAGGGGATCAATTATGGATTCAGTACCCCCAAATAGCTGGGGCCCTGTTGCAACAAAATCCAAGGCCTTGTTACTATAGGACATCATACCCACAGGTCAACCTGATGCAAAGCCTATCCATCTTGGCACAGAGCCTGCTTGTGTCTGCACAGGGGTGCTGCTAGGAGCCATGAGCATTGCCCACCTGAGACCCAAATGTTAGGGAGGCAGCCAGCTGGCTCTGACCCACGCCCTGTGTTTTGTCTGTCTCAACGTGCAGGTGACATCAGTTGCAAGGGGATGACCGAGCGCATTCACAGCATCAACCTTCACAACTTCAGCAATTCCGTGCTCGAGACCCTCAACGAGCAGCGCAACCGTGGCCACTTCTGTGACGTGACGGTGCGCATCCACGGGAGCATGCTGCGCGCACACCGCTGCGTGCTGGCCGCCGGCAGCCCCTTCTTCCAGGACAAGCTGCTGCTGGGCTACAGCGACATCGAGATCCCATCGGTGGTGTCGGTGCAGTCGGTGCAAAAGCTCATTGACTTCATGTACAGCGGCGTGCTGCGCGTCTCGCAGTCGGAAGCCCTGCAGATCCTCACGGCCGCCAGCATCCTGCAGATCAAAACGGTCATCGATGAGTGCACGCGCATCGTGTCGCAGAACGTGGGTGATGTGTTCCCGGGGATCCAGGACTCAGGCCAGGACACGCCACGGGGCACTCCCGAGTCGGGCACCTCGGGCCAGAGCAGCGACACCGAGTCAGGCTACCTGCAGAGCCATCCGCAGCACAGCGTGGACAGGATCTACTCGGCGCTGTACGCCTGCTCCATGCAGAACGGCAGCGGCGAGCGCTCCTTCTACAGCGGCGCAGTAGTCAGCCACCACGAGACAGCACTTGGCCTGCCCCGCGACCACCACATAGAAGACCCCAGCTGGATCACCCGCATCCACGAGCGCTCGCAGCAGATGGAGCGCTACCTGTCCACCACTCCCGAGACCACGCACTGCCGCAAGCAGCCCCGGCCCGTGCGCATCCAGACCCTGGTGGGCAACATCCATATCAAGCAGGAGATGGAGGACGACTACGACTACTACGGGCAGCAAAGGGTGCAGATCCTGGAGCGCAATGAGTCCGAGGAGTGCACGGAAGACACCGACCAGGCCGAGGGCACCGAGAGTGAGCCCAAGGGCGAAAGCTTCGACTCGGGCGTCAGCTCCTCCATAGGCACTGAGCCCGACTCCGTGGAGCAGCAGTTTGGGCCCGGGGCGGCGCGGGACAGCCAGGCCGAACCCGCCCAACCTGAGCAGGCCGCGGAAGCCCCAGCCGAGGGCGCCCCGCAGCCGCACCAGCTAGAAACCGGTGCCTCCTCCCCCGAAAGAAGCAACGAGGTGGAGATGGACAACACGGTGATCACTGTCAGCAACAGCTCCGATAAAAGTGTCCTGCAGCAGCCTTCGGTCAACACGTCCATCGGGCAGCCATTGCCAAGTACCCAGCTCTACTTACGCCAGACCGAAACCCTCACCAGCAACTTGAGGATGCCTCTGACCTTAACCAGCAACACGCAGGTCATTGGCACAGCCGGTAACACCTACCTGCCGGCCCTCTTCACTACCCAGCCGGCGGGCAGCGGCCCCAAGCCTTTCCTCTTCAGCCTGCCGCAGCCCCTGGCAGGCCAGCAGACCCAGTTTGTGACAGTGTCCCAGCCCGGCTTGTCGACCTTTACTGCACAGCTGCCAGCGCCACAGCCCCTGGCCCCATCCGCAGGCCACAGCACAGCCAGTGGGCAGGGCGAAAAAAAGCCTTATGAGTGCACTCTCTGCAACAAGACTTTCACCGCCAAACAGAACTACGTCAAGCACATGTTCGTACACACAGGTGAGTGCGGCCCACTGGAAGACTGGCAGCAGGTGGGAGAGGCCGAGGGGGCTGGAGGAAGGGAGGGGCAGGACCTGTAGGTGGAAGGGAAAGTAGGAATCATCTTTCAGATTTTACAGAAAGACATATTGTAAGCCATCTTCTAGAAGCCCCAACTATGCCCCCACCCCACGAACCAAGCATCCTGTCACCAAAAGACAAAATCACAGAAACCCTTTGTGGGAAAGGGCTAAATGAGAAAACCTGATACAGAATTTGCAGGCACAACATCCCTTAAATACATTGAACTTTGAAACATATTTTTGATCCTAGGTGTTTAAAACTAGAAAAGTCCTTGGAGATCATACACTCCAGTCACCTCATTTTACAGACCCAAGTCATATAAGCCAAACAGGAATAAGGGTTTCAGTCTGTAGTAAGTTTCATTTGAACCAACAGCTTGAAGAGGCCACAACAAGGCTAATGCCAGTGAAGGCTACACTTACAGTCCCTGAAATGAAGAGGGGTGATAAGCTCACTGTTTTCTAGTGCTAGTTCTCTATTTTCCACATCTAGAGACCACAGTCAGTTCTGGGTTCTCCCATTTAAAAGGACAGTAGACTCTTTGGGGCACACTGAGAGGAGTATGATTAAGATGGAAAGGGTTGTGAAGCCATGGCATATGAGTCATGTTTGAAGGTGCTAGAGGTGTTTGGCAGCGCGTAGGTTTGACTTGAAAGTGCCTACTGAGCTTTGTCAGCTTGGCAAAATTACTTAGCATTTCTATACATCAGTTTCCTTGTCTATATGATGGGGATAATAGTGATAGTAGTGCTGTTTTGAGGATTAAATGAATTAATACATATGAAGTTCCTAAAGAAATCTCCAGCACATAATAAGCACTCTATAAATGTTAGCTGTTGTTCACACTTTTAGCATTATTTAAATGATTTGAGGGAAGATACATTAAGCTTGTCCCATTTGTGTTCACATATATAGAAATGGACCAATGATTAGAAGCTATAAAGATATTTAATTAAATAAAAGAGGAAGTTTAAGCAGAAATGCTTTAAAGATAGGTAGACAACCTCCAAAGGGAGCATGAGTTCCTATAATTAGAGGTGTTCAAGGAGAGAATGGATGATCATTTCATAGTGATTTGTTATAGAGGGGATTCAGTTATTCATCAGGTGAGTAGTTGGGAAAGATAGTGCTTCATTCCTGGAGCGAATGATTCTAGAGCAAAGATCTCCTGACCTCCCAGCCAGTGAGTGCCCTTTCCTAGTTCTACAATGGACCAGACAGTAGTGAGAACTCCATGGATGCTCCTCCATATAAGGGACTATATATGTGATATGATTTCACATGGATTCTCTTATACTAAAAATAACTAACTTAATGATGATGACCATATTTGAAATTCCTATTATAGGAATCATAATTCCTACTATGAGGGATTATATTATTCCTATTATGAGGAATTATCGATGCGATGGACATGAATTTGAGAAGGCTCCGGGAGTTGGTAAGGGACAAGGAAGCCTGGCGTGCTGCAGTCCATGGGGTCGGACACAACTGAGCGACTGAACTGAACTGAACTAATTATGAGAGTCATTCATCTGCTAACCTTCTAGTTCTAGGGTATCTCTGTTAAATGACAAATAAATTGTCAGGGGAAAGTTACATACCTGAATTACAATACATGAAAATAAGTTAGTTCCTCAAAGCAACCTTGTTTCTCAGGTCAGCCAGCAGGACTAGCTAGGGGATAGAACATAAAGCAGATCAATTTAAATTGAGGAATAGAAGGGAAGGACTGCAACAGACATACCAACATGGAAGGGAACAATTGAAACAGAACATTACTTAAGATGAAATTTTCCTTCTGTGCAGTTCAACTTAAATCAGAACAATATGTAAATCTATGTATGTGCCCTTGTGTGAATCAGTTCTTAAAGATGACAGTTTTCATACCTCTAAAAATCAGAGTGACTACTACTGAATTTAGGAAAAGAATCAGGTAGTGGTAAGTCACTGTATTTACTTAGAGTACATGTGAATATCTAATAACCTGAGGTCAATCGAGGACATTTTCCATGTGGTATGGTATCATCATTATTTAGTAAATTAATCAAATAGTAATATTTTTATTTATTTGTCAATTTATGATTTACAGGGTATTCTCCCATAGTTATGTCCTTTCCTCCTCTGAGTACCTACCTTGTAAATCCATCAAATTAAGGATTAAGGGGAAAAAGAGACCATTTGTGGAAATGTATTCTTAACCAAAGTTGACGTCTCTGTTCTTGGATCCATGAATGTTTCTACTCTCCCCATCTTTGCATCTCTTCCAGTAGACCCAGCAGATATAAAGTTTACATACTCTATTAGATCACATGTCAAAATAAGGCTTTAAATCTGGAGCATAACATTTTTTGGTGTACTACAGAAAATTGTCTCTTTGGTGTATGAACATATTTATTCAATTTTACCAAAGGATTCTGTGGTTAACCCAAATAACTAGATTTGCCCATAAGAAAACCAGCAATGGATTTGCAAATTTAGACATCATAGATACAAAGGCTACAAGTAAAGTCATTTTATAAATCTGAGTTATGCTCAAAGGCATAACTTCAGATCTCTGGTAAGCTATGAAGTTCCTCATAATTTATAAAGGTCTTTGTAATGGTGTGTATAACCTGACTACATCCAGGAACAATAAATAATGTACATCTATCACTTGCGTACCTTATCTAAAAGAATCAACACTTCCATTTCACCCCCAAATCATTTGGCAGTGGCAGTTTGGAATGGTCAACTCTCTATCAATACTTGTCTAAGTGAAGAAGTCTATAATCTAACGAAGTTTAGGAACAATTGGTCTCGGTTTTCAAAAGGCAAGACAGCCTGAACATATGGAAGTAATTTAGCACCTGGATTCACTTTGGCTGACATTTCAAAACAAAGTTCTCTCCAGTGTCTTGAGAAAACATCAAAAAAGTGGAGCCTCACAACTTTACAGGAGCCCAGTGGAAATGATAAAAATCCACAGCAAAGAGTCCAAATGTTAGTCTAAAATAAGATTCTAGAAAGTCCTGGGTATACTGGAAGAGTAGAGATGGATTCTGCTTCCTACCTTTAGTCTAACCAAAAAGAATCTTACTAGGAAAGAATAGCTTTACAGAGTTAAAAGGAAAAAAACTTAGGTTCTCAGCATCACAGCCACTATGCATGGTAACCAGCTTTGCAGTTTAGCAACTGCAACTTTTAATGAATATGATACTTCCTTTCAAGGATTGGGGGCTTCCCTGGTGGTTCAGTTGGTAAAGATTCCACCTGCAGTGCAGGAGACCTGGGTTCGATCCCTGGGTTGGGAAGATCCACTGGAGAAGGGAATAGCTACCCACTCCAGTATTATGGCCTGGAGAATTCCATAGACTGTATAGTCTATGGGGTCGCAAACAATCAGACACAACTGAGCAACTTTCACACTTTCCGTGATTGGAGAGACTCAGTTCTGAGATCTGAATTCCAAATACAATTCGTGTAAGTCTTTGTTAATGATCCACATAGTCATTAAAAGGACATGTTTGCTACAAATAAGTAGTCCATCATGTTGACCTTGGAGTTCACCTCTACCTTAGCGCACCAAGGGAACGTAGGTTGTTGAGCATATTCCCTGATGATTGTAGCACTGATACTTAGAGTAGGGACGTAAGTGAAAGATGACTGTGCTGGAATTAATTATTTGGGTTCAGTTTTGGTTCCTCTAATTGTGACCATACACAAGTCACTTAATTTCATTACCCTCAGTTTGTTTGAGCTTAAAGTAGAAACAATAATTTTCCTGCCTTTTGAGCTACTGTAAAGGTATTATGCATGTGAGAGCTCTGCATAAAAGGTAAAGTACTACTTAATGCTTTCTTTAAAAAATCACCGTCATCACCTTAGCCTCCTCCTCCCAGAGACACTGAGTTTATTTGCTCTGTCTCCAATCTCTGAGTAATAACTGTCAACATGTTTCCTTCCTCGTTGGAATTCAAATGCCAAAGCAATGTGATACCCCTTGGGTTTCCCTTGAACTTCCTCCATAGCATGAATTTTTTCTTTCATTCCTTTAAGATTTTTTAAAGAAAATCTCTCACTAAACCACTCTATCTACTGCCAAACAAACCAAGAAAGGACTTCATCTCTTCTAGAAATTTCTCAAGTTTGCTTTACTGAAGTTTCATAAATGTTGTGGGGCAGGAAAACAAGGGTTAAGGATACCTTTAAAAACAAGAGAATTAGAGAAAAAGCAAAGCTAACACAAACCATCCTCTCGTGGAACAAAGCAGGACTCCTCTGTGCCCTCTCCCAAGAGAAAAAGCAAAAAAAGGCATGGGATGGCACGGAAAGACAGAGGGCACAGAAGGATAAGCCTGGGGTGAATGTGGGCATGGAAGGCAAGCAATAGGGAAAATTCAAAGATAACATGGGAGCAGTGCTTCTCAAGGTGTGATCCCCACAACAGCAACATGTACATTCTTGAGTCCATCCCAGACCTGAATGGGAACCCAGTGACCTATGGCTTAACAAGCCCTGATTCACGCTGAGTTGGGAATCACTTCCCTAGATGGCCTGGGTGATTAGGAGGAGGATGGCTTCAGGTTGTTTTTGTTATATAACATTGTTCCCCAAAATTCCACTCACAAGAACCTATGTGTTTAAAAAAGTAAATCAGAGTACTGAACAACAGCTTGATTTTATAATGATAAACTATGTTAATGGAAGCAAATATCTTGCATATTCAAGGTTCCATGGCAAATGTACTCCTTTGGGCACTTAACATTATAACAATAACTTAACTTATAGCAATAACTTAACGTATAACAATGACTTATTATAATTGTGCTCTGCTTAGTCACTCAGTCATGTGTGACTCTTTGCAACCCTGTGGACTGTAACCCACCAGGCTCCTCTGTCTGTGAGGATTCTCCTGGCAAGAATACTGGAGTGGATTGCCATGCCTTCCTCCAGGG